CCAACACAGGCTAGCCCACACCAAGCCCAGCAGGGGCTAGCCCACACCAAGCCCAGCACAGGCTAGCCCACACCAATCCCACATCAGCCCAACACAGGCTAGCTTAAACTAGCCCAACACAGGCTAGCCCACATCAAGCCCAGCACAGGCTAGCCCACAACAAGCCCAGCTAGAGGCGGGGCTCATTCGAATATATGGGGGCGTGGTTTGTACACAGTTATTTTTGTGCAACCATTACTCAGTGTCAGTCCAGTTTAAGGGTTCTGTTTTGTGAAGCCCAATTTACAAACAGTTTTTCTTGTAAAAAATATATGTATGATTGTAAAAACTTGGTTGTCTTTCTGATACAATGTATCATTTTCCCTAAATACCTTTAAGACTTGAACATTATGCAATTTATGCATTGAATTAAAAGTTTCATAAATAAATGATAAATAAATACATTCCTATTAAACAGCAAAGGCGCATTGGCAGCCTACATGGAGCCAATATTTTAGCCTGCATTGGGCCCACATCGTGCCAATGTTCTCAGGGAAGATTGTCTTACAAGAGGATGGTCGGTGACACAACCAAGTCCATTCAGTATCAGAGTTGTGAAACATAATCAATAGTGGAGGATGTGATGATAGAATGACCATTGCATGAACTGGGGATCACACACACATTCAGTCAACTAAATATACAAAGAATCCCCATTTCACAGACTGATTACCCCCACAAGCTATTCAACAGCCACACACATGCAAATGCTCACACACACACACATTGTGTAATGTTGAAAGTGTCAGAACTCCTTTACCCAACACTCATTCACCCACCTCCAGTATTGGTAAGAGGTGGGAGGCTGGTGGGAGGTAGCCAGCCAGACCAGCAGCAGCTCTGGCATCACTTCTAGCCTGGCTGTCAGAGCTATGACTAAGCAACTCAGAAGCAGTATGTGGGAGGCCTGCTGCTGTGGTGGTGGGCCCTGAGTGAAAGTCAGCCACCAACACAGAAAACAGCTCAAATAAAATACATTTACAGTACAACTACCTACAGTGAGGGAAAAAAGTATTTGATCCCCTGCTGATTTTGTACGTTTGCCCACTGACAAAGAAATTATCAGTCTATAATTTTAATGGTAGGTTTATTTGAACAGTGAGAGACAGAATAACAACAACAAAATCCAGAAAAAATGCATGTCAAAAATGTTATAAATTGATTTGCATTTTATTGAGGGAAATAAGTATTTGACCCCCTCTCAATCAGAAAGATTTCTGGCTCCCAGGTGTCTTTTATACAGGTAACAAGCTGATATTAGGAGCACACTCTTAAAGGGAGTGCTCCTAATCTCAGCTTGTTACCTGTATAAAAGACACCTGTCCACAGAAGCAATCAGTCAATCAGATTCCAAACTCTCCACCATGGCCAAGACCAAAGAGCTCTCCAAGGATGTCAGGGACAAGATTGTAGACCTACACAAGGCTGGAATGGGCTACAAGACCATCGCCAAGCAGCTTGGTGAGAAGGTGACAACAGTTGGTGCGATTATTTGCAAATGGAAGAAACACAAAATAACTGTCAATCTCCCTCGGCCTGGGGCTCCATGCAAGATCTCACCTCGTGGAGTTGCAATGATCATGAGAACGGTGAGGAATCAGCCCAGAACTACACGGGAGGATCTTGTCAATGATCTCAAGGCAGCTGGGACCATTGTCACCAAGAAAACAATTGGTAACACACTACGCCGTGAAGGACTGAAATCCTGCAGCGCCCGCAAGGTCCCCCTGCTCAAGAAAGCACATATACATGCCCGTCTGAAGTTTGCCAATGAACATCTGAATGATTCAGAGGAGAACTGGGTGAAAGTGTTGTGGTCAGATGAGACCAAAATGGAGCTCTTTGGCATCAACTCAACTCGCCGTGTTTGGAGGAGGAGGAATGGTGCCTATGACCCCAAGAACACCATCCCCACCGTCAAACATGGAGGTGGAAACATTATGCTTTGGGGGTGTTTTTCTGCTAAGGGGACAGGACAACTTCACCACATCAAAGGGACGATGGACGGGGCCATATACCGTCAAATCTTGGGTGAGAACCTCCTTCCCTCAGCCAGGGCATTGAAAATGGGTTGTGGATGGGTATTCCAGCATGACAATTACCCAAAACACACGGCCAAGGCAACAAAGGAGTGGCTCAAGAAGAAGCACATTAAGGTCCTGGAGTGGCCTAGCCAGTCTCCAGACCTTAATCCCATAGAAAATCTGTGGAGGGAGCTGAAGGTTCAAGTTGCCAAATGTCAGCCTCGAAACCTTAATGACTTGGAGAAGATCTGCAAAGAGGAGTGGGACAAAATCCCTCCTGAGATGTGTGCAAACCTGGTGGCCAGCTACAAGAAACGTCTGACCTCTGTGATTGCCAACAAGGGTTTTGCCACCAAGTACTAAATCATGTTTTGCAGAGGGGTCAAATACTTATTGCCCTAATTAAAATGAAAATCAATTTATAACATTTTTGACATGCGTTTTTCTGGATTTTTTTGTTGTTATTCTGTCTCTCACTGTTCAAATAAACCTACCATTAAAATGATAGACTCATCATTTCTTTGTCAGTGGGCAAACGTACAAAATCAGCAGGGGATCAAATACTTTTTCCCCTCACTCTATGTTCTGACATCATTATATCATGTTCTAAGGTATCCTAAATGGTGCTCTGAATCATAGTATTTCATTCAAACACGACTATCTGCACACTATCAACCAACACAAACTGCTAAAGGACAGGTAGTTAGAGAATTGCAAGGAAGGACGTTTGAGGTACACAAAGTACCTCACAGGCACTATTATATAACAAATATACTGTTGGTGCTTATATGCTTCCCGAGTTTCGCTCGGCAGAAGAAGCCTTATAATCATCCCTTTTGAAATCGAACCTGAAATGAGCTGAAGACATCTAATAAGACTGTGTCTTGCCATCCGTGTCAGTCTAAAGGCAGTAAGTGGAATGCTGTTATTAAGGCGGTTTAAAATAGACGTTATCTGGCAGAGGAAGACAGAAGATCATCAACCATCATCCAGAGGGCAAATGAGAATTCTGAAAAATATCTAAGTGCTTTATTTGAACAACAAATAACCACAGAGGGTAAGCTTGAAAAACAGATTTTCTCTGTCCAATTCAGATTTGTCTGCATGGTAAACTGGAGTGATTAGATACAGTATGTAGTAAGGGGTGCTTTCAGACTGAACAACTACAAAGTACAGTTTTCCTTGCCTGACCCCTACACTTATCAGTGATGTTGTCTACAAGGAATGATTGAGGTGAAGTCAAGAGCCTTGTCCTCAGTCACAATATTCCTGAGTTAGAGGGGGCATACTGGATATACAGAGAACATGGCCTGAAACACGTAGAGCAGTCCTACCTTTATAACCCTAACCTTCATATGATTTCATCCCATTTCTCATGGTTGTGATTGTGGTTGGTGAGTGTGCAGATCAGGAAAATGATGAGGTTAGGTCAGTTTGCAGCGCTGCTTTACAGGTGGGCTTCAGAAAAACAGCAGTGATTGTAATATTTCTTTCTGTGTTTTCAATTGAGAAACAATAATAGTAAGTTGTTGATGTTTGTTTTATTATCCTAAGATTGTCTGAACACAATGCAACTCTCCCGGTGCTTAACAATAGTCAGTGTACATTTTATTCATAATATGTGGAACACAGAGTATAAAGATGTATAATTAATCAAAGGTAGTCATTGAGTAAGAAGAAACAAATGGAGAATTTACAATGAGTTGTCAGACCTTGTGTGTGTTGTGGGTTCTTTTCTGAGTTTTATTTTTGAACTACATTTTCTTGGCTCAGAATATGTCAATTTACATGAATGAAGGACATAAAATTAAATAAATATGTTCACAAGTCTTCTTTAACCTCAGCTAGTTATCCCTGACCCTGGCATTTCCACATTTCATTACCAAATATTGTTTTGATCAGCTTGAAGCTATATTACAATGCGTAGTACAGGAACTTTATACATACAGAGATCTATACAACCTCTGTTCAAATATTTGACCCCAATAACAAAATATGTATAATAACAATAACACATCTTACCAATAACAAAAGTAGTTGTTATAATAATGGGAAACTTCCATCACTTTGTAATAACACGAGTTTTTGATGGTGAATTTAGAGAATCAACCAAAACTGAAACAAAGAGGGAAGTTGTGTCCAATGTACAACAGTCTATATATATACACATAGGGCCTACTTGGGTTAAAAAGGAAATCAAACGAATGCAAGTGCTTAAGATACTGTTCCTTAGTGAAAGTTGACTCCCGGATGTAGTAGTAATGATTGACAACAATGAAGCAAGTCAAATGTTTGACTGTTAAAATTAGGACAATATTTCTCATGTTTTTGATTGGCTGATGCAACACTGCCTACCCATGGTCAAAATCACATATTGCAAGTGTTTAAAAAAAGATTCACATCTTTTAGTCGCCCTCAACAGACAACTTGCACTAGTCCTATTGCACAATTTCTCCAGCAATGGAAACATTTACATGTTTGTGTAAAATCAATGTTCCTTTTTTGTGTGGCAAGAAAAGTTCTATGTACAATATCTCTCACAATTTAAATAAATCTGAGCTCGTAAACAAAACAAACCATATATGGCACATACAGATATGAACATTTATAAAATTCCAAAACATTGAAATGAAAGAATCCTCTCCAAAATCTGGCACCAGCTTTGGTTAAACAAAAGAAAGTACAAACAAAAGTCTTCAAACAATATACAACATTTAAACAACAGCAGGTATTAAATATTTGTATTAAAATCATCTTTCAAATCCCAAAACCAAAGTGTTAATGAGGGCAGAGGAGATATATATATATATATATATATATATATATATATATAACTTTCTTCCATTTCATTTAAATAAAAATATAAAACCACAGAATAATGTTTTCTTCTCATCGTCTCTCTGTCCGTCTCTTGGCTCCGGCCTGTCTATCCTCCTGTCATAATTTTTTAACAAACTGAAAGAGTACTTCACATACAATGCTGGCTACCCCCGGGTTGAGCACAGAGGAGATGGAGATGTCCAGGAGTCTGCCCTCGTACAAGACAAACTCTGGCCTGTTCTCCTCCACCTTGGCCATAGCCAGAAGAGCCTTTGCAGCCCGACACATCATGTTAACACTGGGGGGCTCCATGGGGGGGTGGTGGGCCATGTACAGCAGGCTGTGGGGGTTCTGCTGGTACTGGGCAATGCTCACCCCATCCTCCAGGAAGCCCATCAGGTTACCCACGCTGCTTTTCTGTACTGCGATGGCGCGTGCCGCCGTGGAGTCCCCCTGCGCCAGGTTGGAGAGGGTGGCCACAGCCATCTCGCGGTACACCTGGTTCTTACGCTGGCCCACGTAGCGCACCAGGGTGGCGTAGAGCTTCTCCTGGCGGCTGAAGGGTGGCGTGGCCAGCAGCAGGTCCACGTTGTTGTCCTGGATGCTCAGCTTGCAGAGGCACTCCAGCACCAGTCTCTGGGGGGTTAGGGGGGACTGGGGGGCGACCAAGGGGAATGGGTCCTGGGCCTCAGCAGAGGGACACACCATCCAGTGGAGCAGGCCGTCCAGGATGGGCAGGCAGATGGTCTCTGGGTAGAGGGAAAGGTCCAGCTGGCCAGAGATGTTAGCCAGGGTGACCAAGGTGTCCTCCCTGAGTATAGTGAGACAGTCCCACCACCACTCATCCTTACTGCAGGCCAGGCCCCACTCCTGCACCTCCTCTCTCTGGTAGCTAGGGGGCGTCCTCTTCCTCTCTGGGTGCTGGTGGTGGAGCAGCAGCAGCCTGCCCAGGATCAGCACCAGGCCTGGGTGGCGGGACATGTCTGAGTCGTTCCCAGGGATGAAGGAGAGGCTGCGGAGGATGTTGGACACACAGAGGCAGCGTTTTGCCAGGGAGTCCTGCCAAGGAGAGGCTGTGGAGAGTGGAGCCTCGTTCAGACAGCGGGGCTCGTCCTCCAGCAGGGTGATGTGCTTGTGGCCCCCGCCCTGGTGCAGCCTGAATGGGTAGGTGGGGGCAGAGTGGGTGGGGTGGCCCTCTGACAGAGCCTCGAGCCGGGCACACAGTATGTCATCTATGGTGGCGGTGATACCCTTCCCCTTCTCCTCTGTACTTGAGTCAGTCTCCTGCTCTTTATTCAGAATGGCACATTCGTCTCTCTCTCCCTCCGTCCTGTCAGGCTGCTCTCCCCTTGCACTCAAAGTGGGTCTGGATGTGGGCCGTGGAATCCCCCCCGCCTGCCTGCCAGTGGAGCAGTCCGCTGGTGAACTCTGTCACGTGAGCCAGCTGCTCTGTCATGTCCTCAATCAGGTCCTCTTTGTGCAGGATCTTGATGGGAAACTTGTCGTACTTGCTGGCCTGTTGTGGCCTTGGCTCTGGCTCTGACACAGACTGATTAGGAGAGTCTTCCTTACTTTCAGCTCTGGCTTCCTTACTCTCTGTGGGCTTTTCACCCTCTCCTTCTTCTTCCCCTTTTTCTTTCTCTCCCTCCTGTTCTTTCTCCCACTCTTCCTTCTTTACCTTCACCTCGGCTTCAGATTCCTCCTTCGTTCCCTCAGGGGCTGGTTCTGTTGCACTGGGGGATGACATCACTTCCACTGTCATTTTCTCTGTGATGTCAGAAGGTTTGTCCTCCCCCTTTTCTACCTCCCCCCTCTCCACCTCCTGCTCAGGCTCAGGCTCTGGTTGGCTGGCCTCACAGTCTATCTCAGGTTCAGAGGTCAGCTCCTCCCCCTGGTTACAGGGTTTAGGCCCCAGGAGAGTCTTCTGGCCGATGGTCCCTATCTCATACTCCTCCAGGATGCCAAAGATCTCCATCACACAGCGTCTGAAGTACTCCACTATCAGCTCCAGGAAGCCAGGCAACTGCAGACACGACAAAATAACAAATGACATTAGGGCTTTGGTATTAAAGCACTTTAGCGTCCCTTAATATTTACAGTGTAATCTGATAAAGATGTGTTGGTTTGTGTTGGGGTGGAGAACTGTCAAGCACTACTAAATGTAAATCATTTCAGACTGACATCAAGACTCAGTCCTGGAATGGTTGAGAACAATAGTAAGAGAAGAGTAAAGTGTGTAGAGTGTCTCCAGTTACCTGTGCGAGGGTGAAGGAGGCCACAGTGCTGTCATCATACAGCAGGATGTTGATGGTGTCCAGGGCCCAGGTACTCTCACCCAGCAGACCTGACTTCAGAGACATCATCACTCGCCATGCCTCGGGGGTTCCTGTGGAGAGGACAGGGGTTAGAGGAGAGACGGTTGTAATACCTGTCACAGATATCAAGACCATCACGATAATAACAGTGCTGGTTTGACCATGACAGTAAATAGAAGGACTTGGTAATCTCTTACCAGTGTCCTTTGAGGTAATTTTGCGGCGGGGCTTGAGAAGGGGCATGGTGGCCTCTACAGATCCTAGAGGGTAGTTGAGGTCTCTCCGCAGGTTAGGTGGGACCTGGCCTGGGTGCCCACTACCCTGCCCTGGCATGGGCATGCCCGGTTTGCCTGGCATCTTCATGGAGCCCATAAAGACAGCTTTGTTGGGGGACATCCGTGCCTCCATGGAACGCTGGAAGGAGCCAGGGCTGGGTGCTCGGGGCAGGTGGTTGGCCATGGAGGGGGAGGTCTGGTAGGCAGAGGGGGGCTGGCGAGAGGACATGGGGGTCATACCACCTGACATGTAGGAGGACTGGCGATGGCCTCCGTGCCCGAGCCACTGACCATCCTGGATGGGTCTGCCCTCCATATCATCTCCTCTCCCCATAGGACAGTATGGCGGTACCTGGGATGGCGCCCCCTGTCTGTTGGGGTAGGGATAACCCATGTCTGTCCTGGAGGGCCACATGTTGGGCCCCTGGGGTCCTTCCACTCCATTGTTGGAGGGTGGCCCCCCAGCCATCATCTGGGGACCCATGGGGTGCTGGGGGTGCTGCCCCTGGCCAGAGACCTGCATGCGCTCCCGGCTATAGGGGGAGGGGTAGGGGAACTGGCCCTGCATGGGCCTTCTCTCAGGACCAGAATAACCAGTGCTGTACTGGTTGTACATGTCAGGCTGCTGGCTGCCGTACTGCATGGCATACATCTCCCCCTCGTGCCTCTTGCCTGTGGGGCCGTACATCTCCCCCTCGTGCCTCTTGCCTGGGGGGCCGTACATCTCCCCCTCGTGCCTCTTGCCTGGGGGGCCGTACATGCCCTCCATGGGGCGCTTGTAACCCTGTGGAGAAGCATAAGATATCAAGGTGATTCTTATATTCCAAAAACATTCAATACTAAACCAATCATTCAACTATACTCTGCTGTGCCTGCATCATGAGGCCTGATCAATGAGCTCCTTAGTGTGTATGTCTCTCACCTGTTGTTGTGGGTACATCCCTGATGGGTGCATTCCATATGGCATTCCAGGGTACTGCTGCCCGTAACCATCATGTCTATAGGAAATAACAGAAGGAAGTGATCATTAACTGATAAAAAGACAGGGAACTTCCCTCTGTAAGAAATATCATTTCTTCAGTTCCATTTTGAAGATGTGTTCCTCACCTAAGCTGGGAGGGGTATCTGTTGGGAGAGTATACGCTGCCCTCGCTGTTGGAAGGTCCCATGTTGCTCTGGCTCCCGGGGGGGCCCATGCTCCCCTCCATCCCTATCACATGGTCTGGTCTGAAAGACAGACAGTCAAGCGGTCAGTTTGCATGAAAACATAAACCAGGCAGCATTAGTTTCTAAACTATGTCTGATCAGTTCAGGTGTCTAGTACCCCTCTGCTTACCTCCTGTCGTAGCCTGGTCCGTATGGGTACTGGGAACGCTGGCCCATACCTGATGGAGGCCTGCCATACATCTCCTGCATGCCACCGCTGGGCATCTGGCCTGGCATGTAGGACTCCCCTCCTGCCACTGTGTAGAGAGACCAGAAGAACACAGTTTGAATGGAGAGTATACTGGAAACACAGTATATAGTGTTGTTGGTGTAATGGTTCATCCACTAGGTGGCACTAGTCTCCTACTAATAATCATCAGCACGCTCAGGAGACCCCGCAATGTGCTGTGATGCTAATCAAGCTTTGTTATTCACTCACAACCTTTTTTCAGATGCCAATTTCTAAACTCTAACCATCCTCTGGTCTCAGAGGTGAGTGACCAAGTAATGAGTAGGTAAAAACTGGTGTTGCTCGGAAAGACGGGTGGAAATGTAGGACAAAAAAGAGAAAGATGAAGTTGGGACAAGAGACATTCTAAGACATCAGAGGAACTCATAAATGCCATAAAGGCAAAACCTTTATGTTCCAGTCACAGGACAACACTCTGCATCTGCCATGTTTGTACAACTCATCAGCTTATTGCTGTGTACTGCATGGTGGTAAGTCTGTGCCAGTGCCTGGGTCCATGGTCTACTCACCCTTCCTCATGCCAGCGAAGGGGTCCTTCTCGTACTGCATCCTCATCATCATGTCAGGGGGCATGTTGACCCCCTGCTGGTATGGTCCCCCAGGGCCCCCCGGGGGGAGAGAGTTACGCTTCTGGAAGGCCGGGTCGCTCACCTCAGAGAATGGGTCCTGCACACTTACCACACTGTTCCTGGAGACAGAGGTACAGGGGGTAAAAGGTGAGGACCTAGACACTTTCACATATGTACCGAGCTACTAACTGAGGTACAGAGGGTGAATATGCCTGAATGATAGGGGGTCATGGTGTACCTGCTGACTGGGATGGGGGTGACCTGGCCCTGGCCCTGGCCCTGGGGGGTTGTGGCTGTGGTGGGAGGCTTCAGATCACCTGACATCTCTGCCATGGAGCTGCTGCCTGACGACTGGGGGGTCTGGGGGCCCTGCAGGGACCCTGAGTTAGCTGTTAGAGAGAGAGCGAGAGGGAGAGAGGGACAGAGAAAGAGAGCAAGAGATGGTTATAAATGAATAGGGAATCTCCTGTGGAGTGCATTGAAACAGTATTGAGGATGTAAGTAGCACTATCACACTGCCAGCATATGGCAACTCGCCAAGCCTCTTTAATCCTCATAGAGACCAGGCAGATTTAGAGAGAGGGCCGAGGAGCGGGGCAGGGGAAATGAGGGGGTTCTGAGGGAGTTCCAAGGCCAAAACCTCTCTATATGAAGTTGGTTCAGATGGCATAGAAAGATGGCCTGTTTTCAGCGTTTCCCCCATGTTAACCTATAGCATGCGGGGTGGCCCTCTGACAGCACGCCAGGCCACAGCCACAACACAGCCATTGACAGGGGTGATATAAGTGAGGCAAGGCAGGGCGGCCAGCTCCCCAAAATCCTCTTAGCCTATCAGAGGGCCGGCCCGCTGGGGCCTATCTCACTAACCACCACAAACTCGCATCACAGGCGGCATTAACACTAGCCTAGCCCCTGCGCCTGCCTGCCGAGAGTAGAGGGGGAACGCAGGGACTGCTACTAAGGGGGCGAAGAGGAGGAGAAGAAGAAGAAGGGGAGGAGAAGGAAGAGAAGGAAACAGAAGGAAGAGAAGGCCTCTCTGTGGGAATTGCTCATTGGAGAGAATGGTGCGGAACTCGCCGCAGTTGCTGTGGAGAGCTTTATTTGGCAGGTTTTTGAAGATTGTTTTTCATTTTTGGCAGGGTGAACTCGGTGAGGGGTTCATGGGGAGGGTACGCCTGGGGGCACAGCCGTAGTTAACATAGAAGGGGGGTGTCTGTAGGGGCGCGGCTCACCCACATGCAGGTTATACTGTACTGTACTGTATTGTGCACTCCCTACAGTATATCAGAGAGAGACTACTGTACCAGTGCCCCAACCATACTGCACTTCACTCCAAATAGGGGTTAAGTTGCTAACATGATATGAAGCTAGTATCATACCATATGATGCATAAATCATGTGATGCCATGGCTATGAATTTTTCAGTGCATGGGAATATGAAATTATTGAAGGTCTGTAACAACACAAGAAACGATGTAATGCCATGCCACATTACACATGAAAACCCTACAAAGCGAAAGTAGTGAAAGGCGTACAAGTAGGAATTAAGGAAAACATGATGGCTAGTTTTAGTAGATAAGAGAGGCTGGTTCTGTGAATCCTAATGAGCGTTTAGTTTAGCAGCTCCTCTGAAACAGCCTCCATGGCCTTTCTCTGCACTGCACGCCTCCAACAGGAATAAAGAATGGCTTTAAAAATTCATACTACTTCTGAATTATTCAACAATACCCCCTGCTTCCACATCAGATTAGAGAGAGAGAGTGAGAGAGAGAGAGAGAGATTGAGAGAGAGAGGAAAGGAGGGGGAGATAGACTGATGGTTGAGCCGAGGGCTTCGCTTGCAGTGGGGCTGGGAGAGATGGAGCGAGGGATTGAGGGACAGAAAGGGAGAAAGGGAGAGAGGGCATAGAAGGGGGTGGGGGGGTGTCTTTGGGATTCTCCTCTTCCCAGAATATCCCCTCTCCTCCATAGACATGGGCCAAACACACACGTGGAGCAACTCAGAACGTAAACAATGAACCAGGGGTTACTGGAGGGTAGTCCTTTCCTGCAGTCGAATGACCTAGTGGCCTTATGGGCGGAATGTTATTCATATTTTTCATAATTTCATAATTAATTAAAAATGTTATTATCCTGTGTTTCTATGTCAAATGCTTTTGTTATATTTCCGTCTTCTGTGATGTATATAAAGTGTAATATTGGGATGCAAACTCAAAATGTAATACATTCCAACTCTATAACTGACATAGTACAGGTGTGTTCTTTTTTTAAAAGCCCATAATCATGTGTGTGAGATGTATACTTTTGTTTCAACGTAGATTTGTTTAAGACTATCAAGAAACACTGTGCGACCCTGATTTAGCCCACTGCAGGTAAAGGTTTTAAGAGCGTTCCCTTCCCGGCTGGCAGACAGGCAGACAGATAGGCTGGTAGACAGACAACACTGGGAGGCAGGCAGAAAGACAGGCAGGCAACACTAGGAGGGAGAGAGGGCGGGAGGGGACATTTACACAGCGTGAACTCAAATGCCCTCTACTCTACATTTAGAGGGAGAGATGTGGGTTAGTATGTAGGTGTGTAGAGGTGGATGACATAAGACAGAAAGCGCTGGCTCACTGGCTTCGTGTGAGTGTGACTGGAGGTCAATGTTGTTTATATCCATGACTCCACCCTCATTAATCATGCTCAGGGGAAATCCCCTCCCCTCCTCCCATCTTGGCTGCTCAACAGCTCTCCGTACTCTGGAACATCCTCACCTAGCTGTCAGCTATATATAGTGTGAGTCAGTGAAGCAGCCAGACAGGCAGGCACCTGGGAGCAGCAGAGTGAATGGGTGGATAGATAGAGGAATAGTTGGGCAACATGAGGTCTCTCCTGTGTTAGCACAGTATGGAGACTATTCTCTCTCCACTTCAATCAATCATAACTATGTCATCTAAGTGGAGGTAATAGCGACTGCTCTGGTTCTCAAATGTACCTGTATTTTATTAGGTTTCAGCATACAGAATACAGCATTCAAAAAATTTTAATGTACGATTTTATTTAGGTTTTTATACATAGACAAAGACATTAGACAACTTAAAGATGCACTATGCAGAAATCGCTCCGCCATTTCCTGGTTGCTCAAATTCTAATAATTCGCCTAATTTTAGTTTATGAGACAAAACAAGCAAGTATAGTGTAGAGAATCATCGTACAATCTAAACCGCTGTTAAATATATTTTCCATAACCAAAATATTGGTAGGCACATTTGCTATTTAACTCAACAGTTTGTGACAAAACTATCCGTAGAGTTGAAAACGGAAACACATTGAACTTTAGATTTTTATGCGGTACACGAAAACTTAAGCGAAAAAGTACATTTTGTGTGCACTACTTCATCTCGTACAGCCTTTTATCCGCAACAAGTCAATTTGAAGGTAACACATCTCTGGTGGGAAAATGCAGATATTGTTTTTTTTCTGCATATTTTTTTCCAGAATATTTGCATGAAAATATGTCATCAATTGGATGGAAACCTAGCTTCAGACGTACATACATTTCAACAAACATTAATGACATCATACTTGCTCAGTCCAACATGTATCCCACTGTATCCATACCCATCTTGTTTGTTATTTATTTTTATTTTTTATCTAATTTTTCATCCTTTGGATATTTCTAGTGCTTGTAATACTTTATCCCATATGGCTTCAAATTGTGCTATTTTGTTTCTCTCTGAAGCACTCATTCTTTCAATATTTTAATAATAATGCATTTGATTCATCCACTGTCTTAACGATGGAGGATCATTTGATTTCCAGTTTTTAAGTAAATTTTTTTTCAAAATGATTGTTGAGAAAGTAGAGTCCAACCCATTGGGTATCTCACCACTTTTGGACTTTATAGCACTCCCAGAAGGCATGAATTATTGAGTCATTGATAGTTTTACACTTAAGACATGGCTCTGCAGTTGTGCTGTCGAATTTGTGAATTTTGTGTTGTATAATACATTCTGTATATTAGTTTATACTGGATTAAGCTAACTGTAATTAACTGTAATTGTGTTAGTTATGTTCCAATACTCCATCTTGTGCCAATATCAGTTATTTTTAAGTCTTGGTTCCAATAGTTAATATTTTTTTCTAAGAGATTGTCAGTTGGATAGGCTCTCTGCATTGTTTTGTATATCTTACCTATCATATGAGTATCCTTTTCTGACTCACATAGGATTCCCTCAACATTGCACTGATGTCCAAAATATTTCAGATCAAAATTGTGTGATATAAAACTGATATAAACATTTTATTCGATTTCATTGTATGTTCTATTTTCACTAATTATGCTGAACAAAAATATAAACGCAACATGTAAAGTTTTGGTTCATGAGCGGAAATCAAATATCCTGGAAATCTTACAAACGCACAAATGTTTTGCACAAATTTGTGTACATCTCTGTTAGTGAGCATTTCTCCTTCACCAAGATAATCCATCCACCTGACAGGTGTGGCATATCAAGAAGATCATTAAACAGCATTATAATTTCACAGGTGCACCTTGTGCTGGGGACAATAAAAGGCCACAAAATGTGTAGTTTTGTCACAGATGTCTCAAGTTTTCAGGGAGCGTGCAATTGGCATGCTGACTACAGATATGTCCACCAGAGCTGTTGCCAGAGAATTTAATGTTCCTTGCTCTAACATAAGACGCCTCCAACGTTGTTTTAGAGAATTTGGTAGAACGTCCAACCGGCCATTAAATCGCACACCGCGTGTAACCACGCCAGCCCAGGACCTCCACATCCGGCTTCTTCACCTGTGGGATTGTCTGAGACCAGCCACCCAGACAGCTGATAAAACTGTGGGTTTGCACAACCCAAGAATTTCTGCACAAACTGTCAGAAACTGTCTCAGGGAAGCTCATCTGCGTGCTCGTCGTCCTCACCAGGGTCTTTACCTGACTGCAGTTCCGCGTCGTAACCGACTTCAGTGGGCAAATGCTCACCTTCGATGGCCACTGGCACGCTGGAGAAGTGTGCCCTTCAGATGAATGCCGGTTTCAAATGTACCAGGTAGATGGCAGACAGTGTGTATGGCATTGTGTGGGCGAGCGGTTTGCTGATATCAATGTTGTGAACAGAGTGCCCCATGGTGCCGGTGGAGTTATGGTATGGGGCAGGCATAAGATACGGACAACAAACACAATTGCATTTTATTGATGGCAATTTGAATGCATAGAGATACCGTGACGAGATCCTGAGGCCCATTGTCGTGCCATTCATCCGCCGCCATCACCTCATGTTTCATGTTGCACAGCCCCATGTCGCAAGGATCTGTACACAATTCCTGGAAGCTGAAAATGGCCTGCATACTCACCAGACATTTCACCCATTGCGCATGTTTGGGATGCTCTTGATTGACGTGTACGACAGAGTGTTCCAGTTCCCGACAATATCCAGCAACTTCACACAGCCATTGAAAAGGAGTGGGACAACATTCCACAGGCCACAATCAACAGCCTGATCAACTCTATGCGAAGAAGATGTGTCAAGCTGGATGAGGAAAATCGTGGTCACACCAGATACTGCCTGATTTTATGATCCACGCCCCTACCTTTTTTGTATAAAAATAATGTGGACACACCTTAACATTAGTGGATTCAGCTATTTCAGCCACACCCGTTGCTGACAGGTGTATAAAATCAAGCACACAGCCATGCAATCTCCATAGACAAGCATTGGCAGTAAAGTGGCCTTACTGAAGAGCTCAGTGACTTTTAACGTGGCACCGTCATAGGATGCCATCTTTCCAACAACTGCTATAGCTGCCCCAGGTCAACTGTAAGTGCTGTTATTGTGAAGTGGAAACGTCTAGGAGCAACAACAACTCAGCTGCGAAGTGGCAGCCCACACAAGCTCACGGAAAGGGACCGCCGAGTGCTGAATCGCGTAAAAATCGCCTGTCCTCGGTTGCAACACCCATTACCGAGTTCCAAACTGCCTCTGGAAGCAACGTCAGCACAATAATTGTTAGTTGGGAGCTTCATGAAATGGGTTTACATGGCTGAGCAGCCACACACAAGCCTAAGATCACCATGCACATGCCAAGCGTCGGCTGGAGTGGTGTAAAGCTCGCCGCCATTGGACTCTGGAGCAGTGGAAACGCGTTCTCTGGAGTGATGAATCACGCTTCACCATCTGGCAGTCCGACGCACAAATCTGGGTTTGGCAGATGCCAGGAGAATGCTACCTGCCCTAATGCATAGTGCCAACTGTAAAGTTTGGTGGAGGAGGAATAATGATCTCTGGCTGTTGTTCATGGTTCGAGCTAGGCCCCTTAGTTCAAGTGAAGGGAAATCTTAACACTACAGCATACAATGACATTATAGACGATTCTGTGCTTCCAACTTTGTGGCAACAGTTTGGGGAAGGCCCTTTCCTGTTTCAGCATGACAATGCCCCGTGCACAAAGCGAGGTCCATACAGAAATGGTTTGTCGAGATTGGTGTGGAAGAACTTGACTGGCCTGCATGGGGCCCTGACCTCAACCCCATCGTACACCTTTGGGATGAATTGGAATGCTGACTGCGAGCCAGGCCTAATCACCCAACATCAGTGCCCGACCTCACTAATGCTCTTGTGGCTGAATGGAAGCAAGTCCCTGCAGCAATGTTCCAACATCTAGTGTAAAGCCTTCCCCAGAAGAGTGGAGGCTGTTATAGCAGCAAAGGGGGGACCAACTCCATATTAATGCCCATGATTTTGGAATGAGATGTTCGACGAGCAGGTGTCCACATACTTTTGGTCATGTATTGTATCTGTGACCAACAGATGCATATCTGTATTCCCAGTCATGTGAAATCCATAGATTAGGGCCTAATTAATTTATATCAATTGACTGATTTCCTTATATGAACTGTAACTCAGTAAAATCTTAGAAATTGTTTAATGTTACGTTTCTATTTTTGTACACTGACCTGGCTCAAAATGAAGGTAAATATTCATATCAGAAGGTTATGTCTCCATCAAGTGGCTAAGAGGCTGGGATGCAGAAATATGCAAGATTAGGTGTGTCTGTGTAGCACATGGAGATGTGTGAAACTTACACCTCAGCCTGAAGTGTCCCCACTTGCGCCACTGTATAGCTAGCTTTTCGCGTGACGCGACTGTTAAGATGCTTTGGGAGGGCGGTCACGTGTGCTAGAAAAAGCCTCAGTGTGAGCCGAATCAGAATGAAGCAATACTCACTAAGCAAGCAGTGTAAAGTCTTCTACATCTGCGTGGGTGGGGTGTGCTTGTGTGCTGAAGGCAGATGCTCCTCTTAGCAAAAGCAATCTGGTGTGACTCAGGCAGGTGAGGTGCTGGTGTTCTATTTAAAAGTCAGGGTCACTTTTCTCATCAGCGCTCTAAATTAGAGACGCAACCTTTACGCTCCAGCTCTCTCTCCTTAGCTGAGCACAGTAATTGTGCTTAGAAAAAAGTGTCAGGGACAACATGCAAAACAAATACTTTGTCTTATAAATAGCATAGTAGCATAACACAAAATTACAAGTCTTAACCTTTCTAATACTGTAATCAAATCAAGCCATATCTCCGCTTAGAGGTACTGTAACTGGTGATAATATCAGGGGAACCTCAGTAATTGCTTGTTTTTATTTTGTTCAAAAGGTTCTTCCAAGACACACTACCAGTCCACGAAAAGGCACACAAGACTATACATAAAAGTCCTAACACACTGCTTGCATGGAAAGTCTCAATCTTCCAATTATATGCCAAAATTACAGTCTACACAACATCATTATCACCCCCACCACTGCCACTACCATCACCACCGTCATCATCATCATTATAAGTACTGGTCCTTACCAGGAGAGGGCAGCTGCAACTTGGCCTGCTTCCTGTTGTCCCCCCCAGTCCCAGTGTTGCTGTCGGCCGGCTGGTCCTCTCCTCGCTCCACCTTACACTCATAGGCAAACAGGTACTGGATGTACTGCTTCTTCAGAGAGCTGGCTGAGCTACTGGAGGTACCAACACTCAGGCTGGTGGACAGCTCACGCCACTTCTTGTTCTTGTTCACCTGGAGGGGAGAGGATGGTAGGGAGGAGAGGGGGGATGAGGAGGGAGACAGGAGACAGAGCATTAACACAATGGCATGTTAGTCCGCTGTATGTATCCTGGCTTGTAACTGCTAACCAGTTGCTTTGTCCCACTTCAAAGCTACTACCAAATAAGTGATATTGACAAGTCTAATCAACCACATAAATAGTGTATAGCGCAACAGTATTTTGCAATACATGAGAAAAACACTTAGCAGTGTATATCAGTCCTATAAGACATAATGAAATGAACTCAGTGGTTGTCTCTCACCATGGCCAGCCCCCCTATCTCCCTGACCACCATGTACAGTCTGTAGAGGTCCAGGGGCTTCTTGCCCACGGCAGGGAGGTGGGGAACAGGTGTACCCCTCTCCTCCATAAAGGACAGGTAATGGTCCACCCAGCCACGCCTCTCCGGCTCCCCACCCATATCATACAGACCTGTGATTCGCTCGTTAGTCATGGTGGACGAGTTGGGCTTCTGAGTCGGAAGAGATGGAGAGAGATATGGAATTAGCTCCAACCTTGCAAACTGACACAACTACTCACATCAGTCATCATACTGAAAAAATAAAAAATAAAATAAAAGAAGATATTGGTTGAAATGTAAGGAAGAGTGTCACATACAGGGCTGGAGGGAGTCTTTGGCCAGACGGGGCTGCTGATGCTGTCACTGTCATCCCCATGGTAGGAGGACAGGCTGGCTGGGCTGTGGGACAGGGGAGAGGGGACAGGCATGGCACCAGGGGTGGTAGGCTGGGAGATACACTGGGATACACTGTAGCCATCCTGTAACACACACGGAGAGAGAGAGAGAGAGAGAGAGAGAGAGAGAGAGAGAGAGAGAGAGAGAGAGCACTTGGTGAGTGTTAGCAGTGGAGACAGAGCGGAATGGATTCTGTTTTTCATATTCCTCTGTTCTTTCACTCACTCACCCATCCCTTCACCCCAACCCCTACTGTGTGTGAACAAAAAGTTGCAGTGTTCTAAAAGGCCTCTTGCGAACAGCTGCATGCATCAAAAACACTCAGTAAACCAGAAAGAGAAAGAGAGACACAGCAAGAAAGAAAGAAAGAAAGAAAGAAAGAAAGAAAGAAAGAAAGAAAGAAAGAAAGAAAGAAAGAAAGAAAGAAAGAAAGAAAGAAAGAAAGAAAGAGTCCTGACTACTCAGAATGCAGGGAACAAGTGCTCTGTGTACAGGTAGGTATGTGTTTGAGCATTTCAGTGACAGATTGCATATGTCAGCATAACCATGCCGTGTTCTCTCCCTCTATCTCTCTCTCTCTCCCCCCAGTCTGCCAGAGCAGGGAGACTAAGACCTTGTCTTGTTACTACATAGTACAGACACATCATCTCTTCAGGGAGCTCTGGGGGTCTTCACACAGCTCTGACTGTCTTCAATAATTCAACACCCACCATTACTATCAACAAAAACAGGGATTTTCACAGAAATTATGGGGGCAAAACAAAAAGGCAGGAATGGAAAGAGCCAAAGTGCAAAGCTGTTGCTGAGCTGAGCTTCATTTGGGAGAAGTGAGCAGTCAGCATTATAGTGGGTTGGGCTGTGGAGAGTAGTGAAAGTACAGGGTGTGTGGATGTGTGCAGGATTCTAAACACCATCTTTGCAGCTATAGCTGCCAACACATCAAAAGGTGATGACTAAAACAAATCAAGAAAATATTATTAACTGTAAATGTTAAACAAATGATTAAATATGGCAAGAAAACAAAACTCTGCCTGCTGTGCTGATGCCTTCGGTTCATTAGTGAGAGAGAGAGAGAGAGAGAGAGAGAGAGAGAGAGAGAGAGAGAGAGAGAGAGAGAGAGAGAGAGAGAGAGAGAGGGAGAGAGAGAGAGAGAGAGAGAGAGAGAGAGAGAGAGAGAGAGGGAGGGAGGTTGTACCTTGGGTCTGGGAGGTTCATTGGTGGGCATGCACTCCTCCTTGACATCCATTTTCTGCTTCCCAACAGGAGTCACCATCCCATCCCCAGCCATCCCCATGGCCCCTACACAAAGAAGAAAATGGAGGGAAGAATTCACACATTTTAAAGTAACTGTCCAGTGTTTCCAGATTTCTATGAAATATTACCTGTTATTACTTACAGTATGAGTGAAATAGTTTTCCTTCCAAAATTTTTTTATTTAAGTATGTTAAAAAGCAACTTTTCTGTGTTGAAATGGTGTAGGCATACCACAACAACAGTATGGTGTGGGCGTATACCGGTCATTAAAAATATAGATCGCTGATTGGCCAGCTCATCCTCCTCTAGACCGCTGATGGCCAGCTCATCCTCCACAGGAGTATGACATCATACTCTATGAGGAAATAGCAAGCATCTTTTAAATTTGAGGTAGGGTTTATTAAGTGTTTCTTTCTCCAATTTATGCGTTGACCACAAATACACGAGTATAGGACGAGTCAACAGCATTATTTGGGTATGAGTTAACAGAATATTAACTTTTAAAAGTGAGATTTTCACTGGACAGTTATTTTAAAAGGCATTGGTGCATCCGGGGATAATAAAGACTGCTCTACTCTGACATTGGTGCATCATGAGTGCACCAGCCAAACCTTTGAATGAAACATATGAGTGCATATGAATGCATGTTCACATGCTAGTCTAGTGCACTGGTTCCCAACCAGGGGTACTAGGACCCCTGGGGGTACTTGGCCTATCCAAAGAGGGTACTTCAGAAGGCTCATGAGATCATAGGCCTACTGGTAAAATGCACATTAGGGTGTACTTCAGGGGTACTCCGGGTAAAGCAAAATGCAGTTTGTGCTACAGTAACCGAAAAGGTTTGGGAACCACTGCCCTAGTGTATGAGGAGCAATATTCACATAGCATGTACTGTATATAAGGAGTTAATGGAGGTATTAGTCATTGTAGCCATTGTACTACATCTTGTCTCTAAAATAGGCACACACAGAGCCAAATTATGAGCTGTTCTGAAGCCGAAGCACAGTCCTGGATAATGGAGAAAGTATTATCAAAATGTCTGTCTCTCTGGGGAGATGGAACACATCCTTTCTATCTCCAAGGTCCTCTTCCAGGGATTCTTCTCAAAAGGAATAAAGGCAAAATGAACGAATAAAAATGAAGAAGGCATTGCTTGAGAAAAAAAATGAACTTTTAAATGAAATACCATTGCACTCTCTCGGCCTTGCTTTTGTGTAACACTGAATAGGTAATTCAGCACCACAAATATAAATTATGCTCTTACAATGTTTAAGCACTGGTAGACTTACATTTCTTAGGTACTTTCCTTCAAAAGTTCTTAGCAAAAACAAATAAGATCTTGATGACTGCTTCTCGAGTGTGGACTGAATAAGTATTTTCCTATTCAGAAGAAAGTATCCCTACATGCCAAGAGTCCCAAGGTTTGTCCCTTTATTTCCCTTCTCAGCTCGGCGCTCAGTACTATGTGAAACTAATAGCTTTTTACCAACCCCAGGGGCAGCAGAGATGAGTTTTTAAGAACCTTGGCACTCTAATTCATTTGAAGTCTTCCAAATGTCATGCAGGCTGATATTTAGTTTTGTAAGGCTGAGCAGAAAGCTCTTTTCATATATAGCCTCGCATTCTCCGAGGTGCGTTTAGCACAATGTGGAGGGGTGAGGGGCAAGACAGAGCAGGAGAAAGGGGCGCACTGCATTAATCTGTTCTCAGGAGGGCCAACGGAACAAGAGAAATAACAGAACAGAGCTGCCTGCAGGAAAATAACCATATTCAGAACAGTCACTCTCTCTGTCTTTCTGTCTCTCTCTCTGTCCATCGTTCTCCAACTCTGTATCTCTCTCTCGCTCTCCCTCTCTCTCTCTCACTTTCGCTCTCTCTATTGGTCTTTCTATTTATCTGTATCTTTCCTTCTCTTGGAAGAAGAAATGTTCTGAGGTACTATCTTCAAAGAACGGCACAAACACAGGTTCTGGCTGGCATTGGTTCGTTTTGTTGCTGTTTTAGCCATTTCCTAAAGCACTAATCTTGAGCGTCTTGGCCAACTGGCATAAAGTTACTAGAGATAAAACGCTTGATTGATTTTGATAGCTTTAAAGTGAACAGAGCTCTGGCATCTCTCCTAACCTTCTGTTATTACTTAGATTATTAAAAATGCTTAGATTATTTAAAAAAGATTAGTTTGGTTTATTATAGATACTGCTATGAATACTAGTCAATTAATGGTACCCAAAATATCTGCACTGACTCTATCTTGCACTGAGCCTACGCACACTCACTAGACTTTATATACACACTCACTCACACACACTACACTGTCACTCCTACACAAATCCTTCACACATTCAAGCACTACATACACACACACACATAACACACACACGCATACCGACACAACACAAACACACATACATACACACAAGCACACTCACACACACTTTTACACTCATCATTGCTGCTGCTACTCTGTTCTTTATTTTACTCAAATTATTATCTATCCGGATGCCTAGTAACTTTACCCTACCTTCATGTACATATCTACCTCAAATACCCAGCGGTGGAAAAAGTACTCAATTGTCATACTTGAGTAAAAGTAAAAATATCTGTCACCAGTAAACTACTACTTGAGACAAAGTTATAAAATATATATTTTTTAATGTACAGTGGTTGAAAAAATACTCAATTGTCATAATAAAAGTAAAAAGTAAAACAAAATGCTATACATCAAATTCCTTATATTAAGCAAACCATATACACCCTTTTTTGTACTTTATTTTTTTATTTACGGACAGCCAGGGGCACACTCCAACACTTTAGAAACACAATCTATGTGTTTAGTGAGTCCGCCAGATCAGAGGCAGTAGGGATGAAAACATGGTATATTGATCGGTGCATGAATTGGACCATATTGTTGTCCTGCCTGAGCATTCGAAATGTAACAAGTACTTTTGGGTGTCAGGGAAAATGTATGAAGTACATGAGTAAGAACTACATATTTTCTTTAGGAATGTAGTGGAGTAATAGTAAAAGTAATAAAAAATATAAATAGTAAAGTAAAGTACAGATACCCCAAAAAACAACTTAAGTAGTACTTCAAAGTATTTTTACTTAGTTACTTTACACCACTGCAAGTACCTCTTACCTCTGCACATTGATCTGGTACTTGTACGCCCTGTATATAGCTCCATTCTTGTGTATTTTATTTTATTCCTCATGTTAGTTAATATTTCATATATATATAGTTATTTATTTTTACTCTGCATCGTTGGGAAAAGGTTTGTAAGCAAGTATTTCACTGTAAAATCTACACCAGTTGTATTCGACGCATGTGATAAATACAATTTGATTAGATTTTTTGTTAGAAGTCTGTCAAACTGAAGGCTATAGAAGACTAAACTTTATCTCACAACCATTTTAGACAATTATTCACTACTTTGGTTTCTGTTGGGTACCTTGTTGGCCTGTCCAGGTCTTACCTGAGGGTGGCATATTGTAGGGTGGACCCTGTGGCGTGCCCCATGCCTGAGTTGTTGCCCTGTGACTGGTTGATGGGGTGCACCATCTGGTTTATGCCAGGGCCTGCGTAGCTGCCCTGTCTGGGACACAGCGAGAGAGAGAGACAAGAGCTGGTTAGAGAGGAAAGACTGGACCCGGGTACTTGGTGTGGAGAGCAATTAGTTGGCTTTTGACATGGTAGTAGAAAAGACTCCGTAATAGATTATACTTTCTGCCTCTATTGCAAGGCTATAAGGCCAGAGGATATGCCCATATGTTTCAGTACTGTATAAACCATCATCCTGAAAATGTATAGGCACATTTCCTAGAAAAAAACAGAATCTGTTTGTGAGCAACAGCCGAATAGAAAGCTGTTTCACCCTCCCATCCCTCCTCTTATCCCTTGCAAATCCCTCACCCCTCTTCTCCTTAGCCCTCTCCCTCCCTCCCTCCTCTCCCCACGAAGTAATAATTTAACTAATTAAGGTGTGCTTCTGGAAAGGATCATGTTATTTGTTGCTATGGCGACAGCTGAAATCAATCCTGTGCTTTCTCCATGCCTCGTCGCATCACGGCGTGTTGGGAGGACATCAGAGGGCTTATCAGAAACCTGCTGAACCAACGTCACACACAGCAGACAGACAGTCATGGCCACCGCTCCATACCCTGTACCCTGTACAATGCTAGCTCTGTACCAGCCCTGTACCAACTCAACAGACAGCGCACCAGGATGGATAGCAGTTGGACCAGCTCTACTTCCTGCTGGTCCAAATAATCCCTTGGATAACGAGAGAACAGGAAGAGGAGAGAAAGGAGAGTGAGAGAGGTGGCAGAGGGGGGAGTGAGAGAGAGGTAGGAGTACAGAACATCCCTTCATCTGTGGTGGATCATTTCCTTGAAGTGGAGAGAGAGTAGAGCAGACTAGAAAGGGTATTTAAGGAACACGGAGTAAAGGGTTGACAGCAGTAGCAGTAGTAGTAGTAGTAGTGGGAGCAGCTTTGTGTTAAAATGCCACACTGACAAGGTCATAGTAATACCTCTGCCTTTCTGTCTGGAGGGAAGTCCTACATCCTGCATTCATCTCAACACTGTGATCACACATACAAAAAATTAAACAAACACTCAATCCGGATTTGTGTCAGTCAGTCAAAAGAGCTGAACTTCCCCAAGCAGAGGAGGACAACCATGGCACAGTGTATTGGATGTGTGACAGTGACTAACCAGGCAGAAGGAGGGATGGGGAGGGATGGGTTTGGTAAACATCCCAGTAATCTCATCTCACAGATGTAATTAGTCATAGAGCATGTGTGATGGTACATATGTAATCCCTCTATGGGCCTGGGCTCACAGGGAAAACCATGGCTCACAGACAACAACATACACTAATATCAATCAAATCCTGCCTGTTATAGACTGTTTTCTTGGCAGCACTTTATTTTACAGTACTGTTTTACTATGGGATTTACTGAGTATTTACAAGGAAATAATGTGGTATCATTGGGTACTTTCTGTTACTTCAAAGAATTC